ATCGCAGCCAATACGGTCGATCGTCTACCGGTGAGGAAATCCTGAGTACAATGTTGCTGGTTTGGGTGGAACGCTGCCCGGACGCATCGACTGCTACACTGGCTACTGCTCTCCGACGCATTGGTAAAGAGGTACTCGCACAGTCTCTTACTGCTAACAAGCCAGATAAGCCACTGCTACAGAACAGTCCCTTCCACAACGACATAACGGAGAAGCATTGCATAAACTTGGACCTCGCCTTGCTGTGCTACGCTGAGTATTCTCATCACCATGGCAACGACACCCATCCCATGTCCAGTATTGCTGCTGCGTTGCAGTGCATGCGTGTACGGGTCAGTGATAACTACCATCCTGCAGTGTTGCGTGCCTATGATGTAGCCATCAATGTCCACCACAGCAGTGCGAGGTCTGTGGGCATACGCGACCTGCAGCCAGACCACCCAGTGTCACTGCCAGCATCGTTACTCAAGTGTAGCAACATCACCGATCTCTGTATCTTTATCTGTAGCCGGCAGTGGCAGGAGATTACCTCCGTTATCAAGTCATCACACCTACAACTGGAGAATATCATCGTGGAATTGTGCGATTTCAGTGATGCTTCCAATAGCAGTGTAGCATCACACCCAGTCCACACCAAGCCAGCACAGGCTACAAGCAGTGGAGAGGTAACAACGTCACAACAGGTCACCAGCATCCCCGCACTGCTCCTGGCCAACGCACTTGCCGACGTTCCACGCCTCCAGGTTTTCGCCCTGAACTACTGTGACGGTATTGACGAAGAGGGTCTGCGCATGATCTGCACAGCACTGCATAGTGCATCACATCTGTCTGAATTATGCATTCGTCAGTCCCATTGGGTACACTGCATCAATGTCCTGACAGAAAACCTGCACACTGCCTGGCCCTGCTTGACAGAGCTGGAAATCGGTGATGACCGTGAGTCACAACAGCAGGATAGCCTAACCGACGATGACGTCACTGCATTCCTGCATGCCATCAACAGCCATACCTCACTGCAGAAACTAAAAATTTCGGGCCTACCATACTGAACTGGCCCCCGTGGACGCCTGCAAACGTCTCCTCAGCAGCAGTTCCTATAGATCTTCCTTGAACACGTACACGGATCTCCGCCTAAAACAGTGACAGTAGTACGGCAGCTATCTTGCCAGTACCGTCATCTAATGATGCATAACTAGACACATAGTCGGTAGTAATTCCACATTATCCTGAAACAGTCTACTAGTATGCAGTGACAGATTATGTAAGAGAAGAAAACAATTTAAAACTGTACCAATACAGATTGTATACCACTAGCAGTACCAGTAGTCCTCGACTGTGTATTCTCTAGGCTTACAGTACATACACAGGTTTACTGTTAGATGCCCTAGGGCTTTCGAAGACATTAATTTTGTCTCCACATGATTGTGGAAGTGTTTCTGCTGTACAACACCTTGCCAGAGCCGCCCCCCCCCCCCCCTGTGTACATACTGTGCTTTGCAACCCCTCCTCAACCCCCCCCCCCCTCTCCTCTGTGAACATACTGTGCTTTGCAACCCCCCTCAACCCCCCCCCCCCTCCCGGTGTGAACATGCTGTGCTTTGACCCCCCCTGTGTACAC